ATCGCGCACGACCTGATGAAACGCACCATCACGGACGAAAAAATAACTGTGGTCATTGGACAAGAGCCTTATGGGAAAAGCGGAATCGACTTCGACGATGATAACCGGGATGGCTTTATAAACGCGGACAACAAACATAAAGTTATCAAGAGCGGAAACGGAGAGGGTTTCGTCCTAGTGGAATTAAGCACCTGCTTTGTAATCTCGTGCTATTTTTCCCCGACGGAGAGGTGGCAGACTTCCAGAGACTGCTCCAAAACATTGAAAATACAATTAGGCACGGGGGGAAATATGTGGTAGAAAAATCGTAATGTTCCCGTTTAAGGGCGTTGTTTATTTACATATTTTGTCAATGTATTTTCGAATGTGTTAATAAATAAACCTTTTATTGTTTAACTGTGTTTAATTCTGTCAATTGCGAATTGACCTCTGGGTTTTTCCTTTCTCCGCTGTATAAAAGCTACCCTCGCTGTGGGGCCATCACCACGTAAATCCTGATGCTGGCGCCCGAGATTTCCGAAACCCGGTTCAAGTCCGAACATGCTAGGCCACCAGCAGTAAACCCTAAATTTCAAAGGTAAGTTCACGGAACAACGTTTTTCTTTTTCTCCGATTTCCCAGGCGCCATTACAAAAATGGCACCTGCGCAGGGACGTCTCTTCTGTTCTCTTTTCAAGTTTTCCCGTACTTCCCGTTTTCTTTCTTTTCTCTTTTCCAGAACTGTCCCGGACGCCATTACAACGCGAAAAAAACAGACGGTCCTGACAAGCTCAATAAAGCCATGCAAAACATGTGCAATAAAACCTTCCAAAAGAAGTGTGTCAACCTCCCAGATTCGTGGAAACCGGTCTACTGGTGGACGACAGAAATTGCAACTTAAGAAAGCTGTGCTCTAAAAAGAGGAGGAAAATGCAGAGCTTGAAGAAGGCGAAGAACAAAAGTACACAAAGTTTTGTAGAAAGAGTATTATCATACAAGGCAGCAAAGAAAGCTCTAAAAACTACCATCACAAAACAAAAACAAAAGGCATGACAGGAAGCAGGTGATAGCCCTGTTTCCCGCGAGAGATCACATAGCATGGCGGAGGTGCACGATATACCAATATTCCAGCCAGACGAAATGAGCGCAGCGATTGACAAACTCAAGATCAAAAAATCCCCGAGACCAGACAACTTACCGGCCGAAATAGTGAAGGCAATCGGAAAAAACAACGGCAACCTGTTGCGACAAGTCCTATCTGTGGAGCATAGGTGGGTGATGGCGAGTGCTGGTACTGCCGGGAGCAGGGCAGTCCGCAGCACATGCTATGTGTTTGCCCTAGATGGGAAGAAAACAGGGACACTGCAGAGACCGTGGACTAGCGATCCCATAGGATGCTTCAGGACATGATGGACTCGCCTACAAATTGGAAGGAGGGAGAATTCATTATTAGAGCCATCATGTCAGCCAAATGCAAGGACGAGCAGGCGTTCAAGAGAGATGAAGATGTAACCTGAGGACGGAGGAACATAGGCTCCGAGTTGAAAGCCTTCCCCGACCCACCCTCTCCACCATGATGCAAGCCCGCAGAGAGCGTTTCCAGGCTGGTGTGGGGGGTGGCCGGGAAAGTAGAGGTAGAGGCAGTCTGATACCTAGCAGATTCCTAAACCTCTAAAAAAAGGCGTTAGTTTGTTTTACTTTGGGTTTGTTTCGGTTAGCTTGGGTTTTCCCTTCACGAAAGCAATGGAAAAACGGAAACGTTTCTTTCTAAACCCTTCTAAACCCTGATCGCCCCGATTAGGTAACTCCTGGATCATGGTTATATCTGGGCAAACGGTGAAGGTGGACAACTTTACATTTTGCCTGAGGGCTCTT